GGGGGGATTCATAAAAGTACTAAAAAGTGGCACTTTTTAGTAAATAGCTACAATGGATGAAATTTTCAGTAATCCAGCTAAAATGTAGCTGGATTTTTTTTAAATTGGTATAAAGAATTATAAAGATCACACGTTTGGTGAACTTGCAGAAATAAATTGTAATAGCTACAAAAAAACGTATTTCGCTTAAAACAGCTAAATTTTTAATGATTTCTACTGAAGCAGCTTAAAAAACGGCTAACTTTAGCTAATAACAGCTGAACGTTAGCTAAAATTGTAGCAAATACCTAGCACAAAGCATCTTAAGAAGCATAAATAGCACAAAGTAGCAAAAAGGAGCAGAATTTTAGCGTAAAGAGCAGCAAAAAGCTAAAATTATTACAAGAAGGTTAAAAAGAGCAGAACCAGAACAAAAGGTGTAAAAAGAGCAGAACCAGAACAAAAGGTGTAAGGTGCTGTAAAGATTTAGAAACATTTTAAAGGATTTTAAGGATGTTGAAAACAGCTCCATTCTTTTTCAATGGCAAAAAATGTGGATAAAAAAGGGAAATAGCTGAAAAAAAAATAGAAACATTTTGATATATGAATTGTTGAAATAGCACAAAAATTGTGGAACAAGTTAGATGCCAAACATCGTACAGAAGAAGGTTCCAAATTAACTTCAGTATGCTCCAACTGTCTAAAGAAAAAAAAAAGGTAGGATTTATAATTTACAAAATTTCAACATAAATGGCTACAACAAATCCTTTTGCTCGTAAAAGCTGAACTTCTACAGCAAAACCTGTTTGGGCAACATTCTGTGTGTTATGTTGGCACTCAGATTATATGATGTGAATGACTCGTACCACATCAAACTGTAGCTCAGTATCTGTAAACAGGTTTAAATCTGTCCTTTGAATCTATTTAACGGCATATCTTGGTTGATGAGATGTTTAAAAACACATGCTACATGTCTTATTTTCCCAGGTTCTTCTGCCAGCAGCAGGTCTCCTCCAGCTGATGGACGTSCGTCAGGTCTGCTGTGAGTTTCTGCAGTCTCAGCTCCATCCCACAAACTGCCTGGGCATCAGAGCCTTCGCTGACCTGCACACGTGCACGCAGCTCCTCACCCAGGCCCACGCCTACGCCGGTAAGTGCCGCTCGCTTCCCGCCGCAGAGTTTCAGCCAGCTTCACTGCGTCAGSGTGGCAGGCGGGCCATCTTTATGTAACGACGGGCTCTGCAAACTTCGAACCGTGAAACCTGGTATGTTCTGGTGGATTTCAGAGCAGCACTTCTGTGAGGTGGTGCAGGGCGAGGAGTTCCTGGGACTGTCTCTGCAGCAGGTGTGCAGCTTGATTTCCAGCGACAAACTCACCGTCTCCACCGAGGAAAAGGTCAGAGACAAACCAAGACTAAAGGGGACGTTTTCTTTAAAAACAGCACCTGTAGATGAAGCGATGCTCTTCTTGTTACCGCGTCTGCAGACTCACACAAAAAGTTGTAGTTTGAAGTCGAAATGAGTACATTTTAAAGATTGAATCCATTTGTTCTGTTTGTTTTTGTTGTTGTTGCTGTCTGACTSTAGTTTCCCTCCATCTTTCAGGTGTTTGAGGCGATGATCGCTTGGATCAAACACAATAAACCTGCTCGTTTAGAGCACATGCCCAAACTCATGGAGCACGTTAGGCTTCCACTATTATCCAGRGATTACCTTGTAAAGGTAAAATAACTTTGCTCCTGTCCACTGCTAAGTATTTGTTTTGATCATTTCTTTCACAAGAAATGAAGGATTAAGAGAGGGGTGGAGGGTTACACGGATAGTTCTTGAACTAGTTTAGAAATTCAGTTGAAGTGTGCTGTTTGTTTGCAGATCGTGGAGGAGGAACCTTTAATAAAGAACAACAACACGTGCAAAGATTTCCTAATCGAAGCCATGAAGTATCACCTGCTTCCTGCTGACCAGCGGCACCTCATCAAGACGGACAGGACTCRACCACGGACTCCTGTCAGCATCCCCAAGGTCCAGAAACGGGCCCGTCAACAGGATCCAGTTTAATTTAGTTGTTTTTATTTTCAAAGATCAGTTTGCAGAGTTTGTTTTGCCTCCTTCCAGGTGATGATTGTGGTGGGCGGTCAGGCGCCTAAAGCCATCCGCAGCGTGGAGTGTTACGACTTCCAGGAGGACCGCTGGTACCAGGTGGCTGACCTGCCCTCGAGGCGCTGCAGAGCAGGTCCGTTTGTGTCGAGTCAGGTTTAGAAATCTTTTTTTTATATATTTTTAATAGGTTTATCTTTGCTCAGGTGTGGTGGCCATGGCGGGTCGGGTTTACGCTGTCGGAGGCTTCAACAGCTCGCTGCGGGAGCGGACGGTGGACGTGTACGACGGAGCGAGGGACCAGTGGAGCGCCGCGGCCAGCATGCAGGAGAGACGCAGCACGCTGGGAGCTGCGGTGCTGGGCGACCTGCTCTACGCAGTGGGAGGCTTTAACGGAAGCATAGGTACATGATGCACAGTTCTATTAACAACTGAGGAGATTTAAAGCTGAAGCTTTTTCTCCTTACATGGTTTTATAAACTACAGGCACGTGGAAAAGTGTTTGTGCTGTTCAACTTTTTGTCACGAGTTCAGACAGCCGTCACGACCTTGTCTTGTTAAGGTTGCCGTTGTTTGGTGTGTTCCTTGGTCTTCATGATGTTTAATCACTAGTTTTCTGAACAGGATTAAATTATAAACAGTTTGTTTACTAATTAGGTTGATTTTGATTACCATTAGTTTGATTTTTATCTGTAAAACCATCTAAAAACCACATCTTTTCCCAATGCAATGCTTTTGATTTTACAGTTATAAACATCACAGGATGTGGAAAAGGTCAGTTTAAAATAACTTTCAAGGCGTTGTAAGCTCTGAGATTAAATTGAGGTGTTTGTGTGGTGCCAGAGCTTGATCTGTAAGAGTTTAATATACAGCTGTATATACACTTTAAAATTTTCTGTTTCTGTGATTTAACTTTTTATATGTTTGAGTAAAATAAACTTTATTTTATTCTATGAACATGTCTCAGAAATCCAAGAAAAAAAAGTATTTATTTGCAGAAAATGAGAAATGGTCAAAATGACAACAAAGATTTGCACCGCATTATTTGAGGTCTTTCAGGCGTCAAATAATGCACTTAAAACTATTATTTAAGAACAAAAATAGCTAAATCTATTGCATTACTATATAAAATAAGGGAGCTGTTTAATGATAAAGCTTTGTATATGTTGTATAATGTAATGATTGTTCMWCATTTGGTTTACTGTGTTGAAGTCTGCGTGTAAAACAATTACAAATCCTGTTTTATTTTGCAGAAAAGAGCTATAAGAATGATCACAAAAACATTATGATTACCCATCAAATAGATTATTTTGTCAGTTGAAATTATTGAAATTCTGAGTTGGTCGATTACAACATTTTGAGGATTATGTATAAGGCTCATAAAAATATATTACCTTTGAACATCCAATCAAGTTTTGTTAACAGACAAAGTTACTACAATTTAAAAGGGACAGAGGTGTTTGTGAAACCTAAAATGCAAACTAGTTTGAAGGAATGATGTACAGTGGTTTGCAAAAGTATTCATACCCCTTGAACTTTTCCATATTTTGTCACATTACAAC